TTATCAGAAGACCAGCTAAACTACTAAAAATCAAAATGTTTGGCTAGGACCTTGCTGGTGGCCTAGGGTTTAAGTCTTAGCGCTGTCACCTCCACAATCTGAATTCAATCCTGGCCAGGGAGCTAACCCACATATGGTGTAGCAGACCTCTCCTGTCTTGCCCTCTGATCCCCTTGGCAGTATATTTCTGTAAATCCACCCTGTTCTGCTCCCCATTCTGTCTCTAGTGAATCCTGTCCCCGCACCTTTGGCCTACACCCTGGTTCTTCTCCACAACAACACACAAAATGTTTGTCATTGCAGAATGAGGCTAATTAAATAGAACCTAAGGGTTGGAATAGATCTTTCAGGATTATCTACTGCACAGGTCTTTTTCCCATCTCCGTTCCTCAAATAATTATATAGCACCTACTCAGTACTAGTTGTTTTTTTTTTTGTTTGTTTGGTTTTTTTTAAGATTTATTTATTTATATAAGCACTGGGTACAGTCAGAAGCGCAGGAGGGTGAGAGAATTCACCAGAGCCAGAGCGGGGAACAGAACAGGCAGACTGACGAAATACACTTCTGAGGGGAGCAGCGGGCAGCAGGAGAGGTTTGTGCAGCTTGTGGGACCCTCATCATCTGCCGGGGATCGAACCGGTGCTGCAGAGGCTGCAGGCAGCCTCACAGCCCAGCGCTCAACCTGCTGCACCACCAGGGGAGGCTCTCAGTACTAGTTTTAAACTCTTAAGTTCTATACTGGAGATCATGGGACACATAAGACCAGCAGTTCAGTTTAATTGATAGGAGACGAGAGGCCAAAGATTAGAAGATGACAAGTATTTAGACTAGTATAAGAGCAAAAAATGGAAAAGATGATGTGAAAACTCCGAAGATGGTGTATACCTCTTTCTCAGGTACATGGGGAGCGAAAACCCACACTGAAACTTCCCAAGTAGTTAATAAATGAGAAATTAGCATAGCAAAACCTTGTATACAAAATTGGATTACACCAAAGGGCCATCTTAAAGAAAAAAAAAATCTAAAGGACAGACCCTTGAACTCGCACAGAATTTGGGATGTGAAGTCCACAGACAGTTCCAATAAACTTTGGTTGTCCCTTGTTGCCATTCTGTATTTTCTGTCAACATGCTTTTGTTCCTGTCATCATTAATAGCTTTTGTATGTAGTGGAAGAAGTTAAATTTCACAATGTGTTTATGGTATCACTAACTTACTACTATAATTCAGTTCAGCAGTTCAACTCTGGCTTAAGGAAACAGAGTCCTATCTTAATCATTTCCATAAGCTGCAGATATGGTGGTCACACTGGACTTAAAGGTTCTTACTAATTGCTGACTCATTTAATGGCTCACTTACAGATTCCTTATGTGTAATAGGACAATTTTGTTTAACTTTTTTTCAGCTCCAGTGAGATAAATAAATTTCACAAAGTAAATAGAGGTTAATTGCAGTTCATTCTGTGGGACTTGAATTCGTCAGATTGGTAGTATTGTGAAAGACTTCGAGGAGTGATTATTAAGTTGGGTTTAGAATGAGGAATGAATTTTTCCTAAGTAGGGAAAGGGGAGTGAATGTAAGATATAAAAGTTCATGTAAAATTCAAATGGATATGGTGTAGCTTTCCTTCTTAATTCTCCCTGGGCTTCTTCCCATTTCTCTCAAATGACCAGATTATGCACATTTGCCTTAAGTGCCAAAAATTGGCCGCTGAGATCTGTCCTTTGAGATGTCCCAATTTCCAAATTTTACTATTCCTTTAATACCTAGTGATTTCAGAGTAGTTACCTTCAGGGTAGTGATTCTTAGTACCTGCAAGACTGAAACACACAATGTGAGTGACAGTTACCTCATTGCCTCTCTGCTCAAGATGAAATCCAGAGGTATGAATTTCTTCAGATTATATTTTATGAGGCAGCTCTTTATTTCCCCACACTTACATTTATCATTCTAAAAGCTACTTTACTGAATTCCTGCCTTAAGTTTGTCGTGGAATACTTTGTAACTGGTTAGTAAAGAAAGTGAAATCCAGTATAAATAATGTAACTGTTATTGTGGGGATTCAGATGTTGATGGACCCCTGCCTGTGTAGCATAATGGATCATGGCTAATTAACACAGGTGTCATTGAAGTTGATTTTATTACTTTTATTAAATGTATCTGTCTTGATTTGAAAGAAAGCTTTTTATAAACTTCAAATTACTGGAGAAAATTAAATTTACAAAGTAAATTTATTTCTACAAGGAAGCACCTGTAATAGTAATAATTGCTAATATGCATTGCTTCCTAGGTGCCTGTCATTATTAAAGGTAACTTTAGTTTATTAATATATTTATTCTCCATAAAACCGTAAATACTATTATTTCTTTCACTCTGTTAAGTGAAGAAACTAGGGCCCCAAGATGGATAGGGGCTAGAATTTGAAATCAGGCATCTTGCCTCAAGAGCTCACACTTTTAGTCTGTGTCTTCTGTAATTCTATGACAGATGGTATGTTTGCAGTCTTGTGCTAGAGAATAGGCTACTTTACAAAACTATGGAACACTATACCTTTTAGAAGATGATGTTACATATAGACAGAAGTATAGTTTCAAATCTTTATGTGCAATAGTAACATACGGTAAATGGTTTGATTATCCTGTATTTATTACTGCAAACTTTTTTAAATTTAATTTAATTTTGTATATGTTTACATCATTTTTCACTTTTGCACAATGTATGCATTTTCATCTTGGTTATATTCCCCATACAATTCCCACCCCCCTGTAACTGCAAACTTATATACTTAAAAGTTATCTACTCCCAAATGATTAAAAATGGTGCCATGTTGTGTGTGCCTTCTAAAACTTTAATGACAGCCTTATTCCCTGGCCTTAAATTTCAACGATTTAACATTTTTTTTAAGGTTTATTTATTAATGCATACAAGAGCTGGGGTTCAGGCCAGAGGTGTGGGGGTTGAGAGGATTCACCAGAGACAGAGTGGGGAACAGAACACATGGATTGACTGAAATACACTGCTGAGGGGAGCAGTGGGCGAGTCAGGAGAGGTCTGCTTTGCCATGTGGGTCACCTCCCTGACCGGGGATTGAACTCATGCTGCAGTGGCTGCTGATAGCTGCATAGTGCTGGTGCTTAACCCCTTGCGCCACCAGGGAGGCCCCTAACTGGTTTTAATGACCTAATGTGAAGGAGCATTAAGAATTAATGCTAAATGTGTTGTTATTCTTTCCTATCTTCCCAATTTTTTGTGTAATAACTTAGTTTCTTGTAGAATATTTGAATGACCTACATGTCCAGATTTTGTGGACTAGAAAGTGATACATAATACTTACTATTTTGTGTATTAAATGCACCAGTGGAAATTATGAATTTTTAGTACTCCCTTTCAAAGACTAGTAATGATTCATAAGAATTAGGTGGAATTTTAATAAACTGAAAACTTAGTCACAGAAAATTGATGAGTCATTGTTGTGTTTTCAGCAACTCCCCATGCCCCCTCCCCCCCAGAGTACTTTTGAAAATTAGGAAGTAAGTAAAAATGGCCACTGAATAGCAAAACTCCAGGTAAAGCTCTACACAACTATTAGACACATGTCAGTCCTTTGACACCTCTTACATGCATTATTGATAGCAGTTAAACTAGGTGTGGTTAACTAGGTCCCAGCCAACAGTGTATTATTAAGATAGTGCAAAATGATACTAGGCTTGTATAAATACATGTAGTGATAATGTTGTAACAAGAGGAATGATAAACACTGAAATGCAGTGAACTGCTCTGAGAAATAGCCTGAGTCCAAATAACTTTTGTACAGATTTGTACACTTTAATTTTTTTTTTTTTTTTTTTTTTTAAGATTTATGCAACAACTTGGGTACAGGCAAGGTGCGTGGGAGGGTGAAGAGGATTCACCAGAGACAGAGCGGGGAACAGAACAAGCAGAAGGACAGAAATACACTGTTGAGGGTGGCAGTGGGCGAGGCAGGAGAGGTCTGCTGAGCCATGGGTGACCCTCGCCGGCTGGCTGGTATTGAACAGCCGCTGCAGAGGTTATGGACAGCTTCACAGCGTGGCGCTCAACCTCCTGCGCCACCAGGAGAGGCCCACATTTGAGAATCTTAATTAAATTTCAGATTAATGCTTCCTAATTTCATAGGTGGGTTGAGGTAAAGTAACTATAATTTTGTCATCTTTTCATTTATATATATTTGCTGCTTTTTTTTTTTTTTTAAAGATTTATTTATTTATACAAGCACTGGGTACAGTCAGAAGCGCGGGAGGGTGAGAGAATTCACCAGAGCCAGAGCGGGGAGCAGAGCAGGCAGAAGGACCGAAGTACACTGCTGAGGGGAGCAGCGCCATGCGGGACCCTCCTCCGGGGGCCGGGGAGCAGCTGGGGATCGAACCGGCGTTGCAGAGGCTGCGGGCAGCTTCGCAGCCCAGCGCTCAACCGCTGCGCCACCGGGGAGGCCCCTATACTTGCTTTATTTTTATCAGCTGTGAGTTAGCATTTGAGAAACTAGGTTTTGGAGTCAGATCAGTTTGAATCTCACATCTTTAATTTTAGTGGGTTATATGAGTGTGAACATAGAACCTCATCTATTTACAAAGAGTTATTGAGCAACTACTGTACACCCTGCATTTATTTAGGAATTATGGATACATCAGTAAACACAAAGGTCAAAAATCTGTCATCGTGGAACAAACTTCAGACTGACAATAATGAACAATAACAATCCCTAGATTTCAGAGTTCTTTTTTCAAGATTACAGTAGTACATATAGTGGTATAGTACAAATAACTGGTATTTGTTATTTTTAGTGATTGATTTTTGAGCTTCCACAGTAACTAGGCTTGATAAAATTGTTGAGTATTTTTTCGTCTCAAAAAATGGTAAGGTAATTTTTCACTGGTGATACTGAATACATTGTTTTTTCTGATATTGAGAATTATAATGAGGGATGACATTCAGTGTATGTGTTCTGCTTTCATTTTCAACAGCCACCAAAAAAGACATCTAAAAAAGAGACACCGAAACAGAAAGCCACTCCGAAAAGTAAAAAATCTGTAAAAAGTGCTAATGTAAAAAAGGCGGATAGCAGCACCACCAAGAAGAATCAAAACAGTTCCAAAAAAGGTATGCTAGAAATGACACATTTTCAGCAAATATAAAGATATAGCTTATAACATAGTTTTTCAGTGTGTGAAAAATGGGTAAACTGCCAAGAATACTGCAGGGAAACGTAGTATACCAGTTTGTTATAGTTACAGTTTTTCAAAATTGAGAAGCTTTTCAGTCCATGTTTTATGGGTGGTTTGTAGAGAAGTGATTTTTCAATTTTTTTTCCTATTATCCCTTTTAATGCTTACAGAATATTTCCCAGTCTGTCTTAAATGTTTGTTTTTCTTTGTAAGAAATTTTTTTTCATGTGTAATAACATCTTACTTTTAGAAAGTGAATCTGAGGATAGTTCAGATGATGAGCCTTTAATTAAAAAATTGAAGAAACCTCCTACAGATGAAGAGTTGAAAGAAACAGTAAAGAAATTACTGGCCAATGCTAACTTGGAGGAAGTCACAATGAAGCAGATTTGCAAAGAGGTAATTGGACAAATGCTTAGAATATTTTGCTTTTATTTGAAAAATACTTTCACACATTCCTTAATTCCAAACAAGATTCTTATTGCATACATTTATTGAACAATTTTTTTTAACTACAGTGTACCAAGCATTTTTACAGAGTCCTGAATACCATACTAAGTCTCCAGAGCTATTTCATAAGTAATATTATAATGTATACAGTGAAAATTAAAGTGCTGCATTCTATCCTGCATAGGAATCTTACCTTTCTTGATAGGAAATGGTTTTTATTGATGTATCTTTAGAAATTGTAAGTTTCAAATAAAGCAGAATTCATGGACCACCTTATTTTCAGCATTGCCATAGTAAATGAGATGTCACAGATTAGATTCTTAGCACAAAATTTCTGTGAAGTGCTAATGCTTCTCAGGAAATATGATCTAGTTTTTCTGTTTTTCTTTTTAATGATTTAGTTTTTAAAATTTATTTATCCATACAAGAACTGGGGTGTAGGCCAGAGGTACAGGGAGGTGGGGGGTGGTGAGAGGATTCACCAGAGAATGGGAAGCCGAAAAGGCAGATCTACTGAAATACGCTGCAGAGGGGAGCAGCAGGCGAGACAGGAGAGGTCTGCTGTGCCATGTGGGTTGCTCCCTGGCCAGGGATCTAGCAGTGGGCTGGCTGTAGCTTGAAAGTGCCGAGACTTTAACCCCTGTGCCATCAGGAGGCCCCGATGATCTAGTTTGGAATGTGAGTCCATAGGAGTGGCATCCACAAACTTGGCACATTTTAGAGTCTACAAATTTCAACGCAATTGAAATTTGAAATGTACCAAAGATGAAATAGCTTATACTTTCTAAGACATTGATTGCTTATTCATTCAGCATTTACTGAGCCTCTGCTCCAGCCACTTAAATAGATGTAAGAGGCAGAGCTCGTGGGCCTCTCTGGTGACTCAAGGGGTTAAGTCTCAGCACTATGAAGCTATCGGCAGCCACTGCAGCACGAGTTCGATCCCCAGCCAGGGAGCTAACCCACATGGCACAGCAGACCTATCCTGTCTTGCCCGCTGCTCCCCTCAGCAATGTATTTCAGTAGATGCATCTTTTCTGCTCCCCACTTTCTTGGTAAATCCTCTCATCCCCTGCACCTCTGGCCTGCACCCCAGCTCTTGTATGTGTAAATAAATTTTTTTTTTTTTTTTTTTTAAAGGAAATAGTTTAGGTGCAGATAGGGAATACAAGTGACTAAGAAAATTTTCTAAGGTCAGGGAGAGAGAACATGTGTATGGCTAAGGAACAGTGCTGTGGAAGGAGGGAGAAGTTAAAGATACAGAATGGGTCCCTGCAGAGGTAAAGGAAATTGATTAATCCAGATAGAACTAAACTGGAGGGTGAGAGGTATGTCAGAACAGTGAAGGAATTCATCATAATGGTTTTATTGCCTGAGAGGAGTGTTTAGGACACTTGAGTAAGGGAATGAAGTTGCCATTGATAGTAATGAAAAGAGGGCCTGGTTTGCGACACTGGGCATTGCTGGGGGGCCTTTGATGTTGAAAACCATGAATTCCATGCACATAAAATGGAACCAGCCTTCAAAGTTATTATATTTTCCTGCAGCAGTCTTTAGTCTCAACTTAACCACAGAGTTGGAGTTTTTCAGGGAAGAACAAAGGTCAGACAATTCTAGTACTTTATACGATTGACTCTCTTTGCAAGGGTTGGCAAACTCAGCCTGTGGGCTTAATCCATTTTTCCAGGTGTTACTGTACCACAGCTACACCTGTTCATTTAAGTATTGTCTGTGACCACTTTCACGCTACAGTGGTATAGTTGAGTAGTTGTGATTGAAACTGTCGCTGGAAAAGCTGAAACCATTTAACTCTAGCTTTGTACAGAAAAAGTTTGCTAACTTCCAGCTATCCTGTGGACTTGAAGCTGGCAGGGTGCGTACAGTTTGGAAGTGTGTGAAAAGTCAGGACTATGTCATTATGAAGTCAAGCAGCAGGTATAAAATTCACAGGAGAGGGGAATTTAGAGAACAAAGTTCTAGGAGTAGGACTTCTGAAGCCACCTGGATCACAGTGATACAATTTTGGGAAGAAACTGAGCAGTGGTGTTCAAGTTGAGGAGTCATAAATAGTACTGGGATGATAGAACAGAGAAGGATTTCTCCAAAATACCCGACAACCTGCCAGTATAAAGAACTTCATCCATTTAAGATCTACAGTTCTATTAACTGGAACTTCTGTTTACTAAACACCAAATGCCTGCATGCTGGTTTATTTTCTGCTTTCTGTTTACACCATGAAAAATACCCACCTGCAGTAGAATTCTGTGGCCAACCAGAGTCCTGTTAGAAACTAGTTGCAGATTTGTACATACCATGCATTTCTTCTTTATCTAGACAACATTGGATTTTTAAATCTACCCTGTATTTTTTTCCTTTTCACTATAGGTTTATGAAAATTATCCTGCCTATGATTTAACTGAAAGAAAAGATTTCATAAAAACAACTGTTAAAGAGGTAACTAGCCACCTTTGCTTACCTTGATCGCTTTGGGCAAGAGATTAGGTATCTCAAATACAAGCATATTTCAATGATTTTCATGTTACTAAGGATCATACTGACCCTCAGATTTCTTCAAAATAGATAGGGAAATAAATTTCATTTGCATTTTAGAGTTTAAGAATAAAATCTAAACCTGACCTCAGATCAAGACGCTTGGCTCACAACCAAGCAAAGGCAGGAGCAGCGCACAGTAGTTAATCTCAGCTGATGGAGGTCACCTTGGCCTCAGCTAAGGTCACACTGATCTCAACTGATTGCCTGAGGTCACATTAGTGAAGTAACAGTTTAAAAGTAGGGTTTTACAGTTTATGTGTGCTTAACATTACATATTTGGTATGGGAAATAACGTATGTCTTTTATTACAGCTAATTTCTTGAGAGCGAGGACAGATGACTTGTTCCATGGATTTAAGGATCTGATTTATACCATTATACCAGCAGAGAGAATGTATTTCCTTTTTTTAAATCTTTGCAAGCATTGTGTTGGTCGAGCTTACTGCGGACCTTTTTATCTTGAGTGTTATGTAAATTTGAGTTTGCCTTTTAAAATTGCATATCTATGCAGTTTTTAGTTTAAAATTTTGCATGGCGGTAATTGTTCCTTGCTTTTATAGTCATATTTTGTACATTTCGGATTTCTTTATATAAGGTCATAGATTATTGAATTGTTGTAGTTTTTAGTGCACTTAATATTAGCTAAAGACATACTTTTAATCAAGTAGTACACAAACTATTGTAACTTGGCATTTATACATGCAGAGATTATCGCAGTATTTAGTATATGAAATATTTTGAATACACATCTCTGTCAGTGTAAAACTCAATGGCGGTGTGTTCATCATGTTTAAAATAGCCAGGCTTCAGCTGCCCAGATGACTAAATCGGAACTTTTCTCCTGCATGTGTATATATGTCAAATTGTCAGCATGTCAAAAGTGACAGATGTTATTTTTGTATTTTTAAAAACAAATCTGTTGTATATAAAGTTTTTTAATTTCTTTTGTGCAGATCAATTTTTAAACTCACAGCTAGGATACCCTTACAGTTATAAAACCATGACATATCAGTGTTCAGCCAGAAGGTGTGACAGACAGAGCAGCGAAAGTCAGGATTCAGTGAAGGAAACACTGACAGAACAGTTCTCTGCTTTGCTTGGAAAGTGTCAATTTATAGTTTTAGTGATTAACTCTGCAACAGTGTCTGTAGATAACATTTTGTATTTAAGGTAGACCAAAATCAACACATCAAAAAGTACATGTTTTTGGAGTGGGATTAAATATAAGCACATTTGGCTTATGAGAAGTGAATTGATTTTTATTAACTGCTTTTGCCCGTGTAAAATGCTGATGTTTATAGAAAACTTGGCCACCTTTGTAATGATAAAAGTAGCCAGTGTAATTGTAGAAGATATGTGGGCAATAATGGGTATCTCTGACAAAATATTTCTCAAAAATGATAATATACTTGTAACATTGAAGAAATTTAATGTGTTTCTGGAATTGGGGCTGTTGGGGTTTAAATTACGGCCAATCAGGACTCTAGGTGATCAGCATACGGACCACTCCTTCCTGAGCGTAATTCTTTTACATTGTCTTAATCAGTTTATTAAATAATCTGAATTTTAAAATAAAACATGCAGCTTATGAGAGTATTAGGCTTTTGATAAACCAGTTGGGTGCTTAAAATATCTTTGCATCATAGAACAGAAATACAAAAATGAGATAAATGTTGACTGTTAGAAATTTTCACAGGTTTGACTTGTTTCTTGATTTCAGGTTAAGACCTTAGAGTTATATTACAGACTAAGCAACTAAGAAAGAACTAGGAATTGGCCTATGATTTTAAATATATAATTTGTTCCTATAAACCTTGTCAATAAAAGTAATAAATCAATGATCTAGTCTCTTGTGTTATGCTTTTTTTGGGGGGGGGATTCATTTGTGGGGAGGCTGGGGGGATTCGCCGGGGGCAGCCCGGGTCGGATCGGCGGGCGGGTGGGCTGGGGGCGCGCCGCTGCGGGTGGGCTCTCGCTGGCCGGCCCGGTGATTCCAGTCCGGTGTGCCGCTGCGTGTGGGCATCTGCTGCTGGGCTGGCCGAGTCGGGATTCGAGCCCGCGCCGTGGAGGCTGTGGGCTGCTTCGCAGCGCAGCGCTCAGCCCGTTGCGCTACCGGGGAGGTCCCCTCTTAGGGTGCGCTTTCTATACCATTTCAATCGCTGCCTGCCTTGTGAGGTTTTCAGAGCAGGGACTTAGCTCTCCCACAGCTTAGGTTATTGGAAGTGCTTTTCAGTGCTTTTCACGTGAAGTCACTCCAGAGGATTGTTAGGGACAACCTGAAGCAAGCTCACGAAGCTATCAAGTTGATTAAGGTTAACAGTTCTTAACTGGAAATGGCTGGCCGGGAATCGAACCCGCTGGCTGGCAATCAAACACAGTAATGGCGCAGACCTGCAGGTCAGAAGAGGGTTTGCAGATGAGGGGATTTACTTGACCAGGGAGTTCTCGGTGAAGATGTACCTAGTACCATCACCACAGCACACAGTATTTGAAAAACAAGTCCAGTTTTTATTAAGCAGTTTTACACAAACAGCTGACACGATCTGTAGTTTAAAACGTGTATTCACTGCCACTCAATTACAAAATCTTCAGACAACGGTGAAGAACATTCAAAGTAATCCAAGAATAAAAGAAAGTACCGTGGTGCCTTGACCAAAAACAGCAAATGATGTGTGCCGCCGGAGAGAGGAAGTGCAGATCTTCCCAAAAATACACATTATGTAGATCTTTACCTAGGTTGCTTATAGCACAGTACAAGTTTTAAGTGCCCAGGGATTAATAACTTACTGTGGCCATTTCAAACTTAAAATTTTTGCATTTATCGCTTAACACATGCTATTCTTGAACATCTTAATACATAGCACTTTAAAACAGACTACTTCCCAGTCAGTACCAATGAGGCATCAGATAACCTAAAGATCACCGTTGTTCTGCATTAACTTTGAAGCTAAGAGTCACTGTTTTCTTTTGTTTGTATCATACTTGGATGGGGAGTGAGGTGTGCCTGAGCTCTGTAAAGTTCACCATACATTCTTTACATAAAACACGGTTTCTGCTTACCAGCTGACTTCGGTTAAATTTTTTTTAAAATACTTAATATTTTGAAAAGTGACCTTAAAGTCCTTCTGAGTGTCCCTTTTAATAAGCAGACCAAAATCATTGAATTAAGACTTTTTAAAACAAAAGCACTTAAGTTATCCATATTTCTAACCTATATACTAAAGTTTGTTGGCAAGATAAGCATCCTGAAGACCCTGAAATCGATGTTTTTTTTTTTTTAAATGACTTTATTAGTGAAAAAGAAAAGTAACTATTTGCCATGTTCTCAGGCTAAGATATGGCTTATACAGTGTAATATTTACCAGGATGTCACATTTTTCTGCAGTTTTCCAGTGGACCTGCCTATGGAATACTGAAAACAATTCTGTAAAAAATATTCCTGGAGCCTGAACCCAAGAGGCATTTGGGAGAGGCTTTTATTAAATTACCTGACAAGATCGTTTTGTCAGTGATTGCCAAAATTAAGGCTATTTTATGGGTGCCATCCACTAAACTCGGCTCTAGGAAAACAGCCATATTCTAAGTCAAAAGTATGAAGCCCACACCATCTACCCCTTCTTGATAGAACATCTGTATGTGTAAGGAATTGAAAATTTTGCTCTTTTGCCAATGAGTGAACAAATTTATCATAAAAGACACCTGAATTTAGATTTCCTTTTGAACACCCAATGGAAGAAATATAAAATGATCTAGATGCTTCATTTACCTCTGAAGAGTTTGTGGTGTATCCAAAAAGGAAAGATTCCTATCTAAATTGTAAGTAAAAACTCGATTTTGGAGCTATATAAAAATCTTAAGGCTCATTGGTAAAGATGCTGATACATTGTCATAGGAGAAAATACATGGCTTTATCTGTTTTAAGTGGTTCCTGCTTGATTGACTTAGTTTCTCAATGTATGAAAATTGAGCAACCAAATAAAATGTCAAATTTGAAGGGAATCTTTCAATCATGGAAAAATCATACCCCAAATCTTAAGGTTATATTCTGCCATATTCGGAAATCCAGATGACACAGCACTAGTCAGATCTGTGGAAAATTAAGTGCTCACAAAAGGATTCTCGAGGCTAGTGCTTTCAGAATGGTGAAATGGCTTCCATTACCACACCACCTCAGGGACATTTCAATTTTTGCTATCCAGAGGGGATTTTTTTTTTTTGTTTGATTTTATAAAAGTGAGGTTTGATGTGTTTCAAATTTTCCCCTTTGGGGTACCCACGTGGCTGGATTGAAATTCTTTTCAAAATGCTGCTATCTTGCTTGCTTCTCGAACGCCACTCAAGTATGCCCCTGTAACAGTCTGCGGGAAATGCCTGTTTGTTGCCTGTAAAATAAAGAATTGCATCATTTGAGACCACGTGTAAGGATTTTAAATGATAATCAAAAGATAATACAAGCTTCTATCCCTTCCTGTTCTTCCTAAATTGGCTGATACTATACTGCGCCTATGTGACTTGTGTTGACACTACTCATCCAGGGCCTCCCTGGTGGCGCAGGGGTTAAAGTCTCAGCACTATCAAGCTATCACCAGCCACTGCAGCACGTGTTCGATCCCTGGCTAGGGAGCTGGCCTACATGCATAGCAGACCTCTCCAGTCTCGCCCACTGCTCCCCTCAGCAGTGTATTTCAGTCAGTCCACCTGCTCTGCTCCCCACTCTGTCTCTGCTGAATCCTCTTACCACCCTCTCCCGGTACCTCTGGCCTACTGTAGGGTAAAGAAAATGTCAGGCTTTTCTGCCCTCCCGCCATCAGGATAGATGATGGATCCTTGTCCTGAATGCATGCCTGATGGCGGGCACCTGGAAGAGGGTGTGGGCATAGGTAGATGGGATTCAGCTGAGCTAAGACTGTGCTTTTAAGGGCGGTGTCACGGGGACGCCAGCAGCAGCAGCAGCAGCCGCCGAAGCCGAAGCCAAAAGAGAAGCCGAGAAGCAGCAGAACGAACTCCAGAGAGCTCAGATAGAGTGAAGACTTGCTGGGGGCTGGGAGGCTGGCAGGCCTCCCAGCCCCCGGCCCCCCGAGCCAGCACCCCTGCCTTGCACATACCCGCTAAACCCCAATAAAAGACCTGCAAAACCACTGAGGACTCTGACTCCTCCTTTACCCGGTCTGCATGGGATCAGAGAACCTGCACTGTGGCCATTCCTGCCTTTACAATTGGCGTAAGTCGGCAGGATCCATGCAGACGGGTACTGGAGCCCTCCGAAGACCTGGAGGGACTAAGGAGAACAGGCTGCCTGTGACGACGCTGGAGGCGCCATGGCGGCACAGAAGGTGGATACGGTCCGGAGCTGTGGGACGAGACCTCGCATGGAGGAGATGCCCGAGAGGACCAGGCAACGACACCGGAAAGGACCAGCCAATGACCCCTGAGGCAGCAGGCCGTTGCTGAAGCAGGGAGAGGCCAGTGGACTTGAACTGATGGACTGATGGACTGGCAATCCCGCCAGAAGGCGGAGGTCCTTGCAGGTTGATATGTTTTGGGACCCTGGGGGTGGAACAGTTTTGTTTGTAAACCCCAGGAGATGGGAATCTGGGGGTGGCCAGTGGGCCTAGATGGCCAAAAGCAGCCTGTTATGCCCAGCAGCCAGGCGGAGGAGAAAAGCCAACTGAGAAGGCAAAAGCCGGTGCTGATGGTAAGTTGAGAAGCCCTAAAGCGGCTGTTAAGCAGCCTGGGTATGCTGAAGCCCTGGGAGTCTCGTCAAATCACCTGTGGGGGATGCCCTGCTCATTCCTGAGTGAGCGTGAGGAGCTGAGGAACCCGTCCTTGGGGGACGGGTGGGGAACGTGGCTTGGGGTGGAGCCCAAGCCGAATGCAGAGTTTGGATCCCCGACCCACGCGCTTGTGCAGTGGGTTGGCCTGAGTGCAGGGGTCTGCGAGTCGCATGGGTGGCCATGAAGGCCGAGTGTTGGAGCGACTGCAGACAGAAACCCTGAGGGCTGGCGATTACCCCCAACAGAACAGAATCGCCAATCCCAGAGCGAGTGCATCCTGGGGGTGGATGCTGTGTGTGCCTTGTAGCCGAGACGACAGCCAGAGATGGCCAGGAAGCCCGACGGCTCCTGGCGTGTTGCAATAGATGTCGTGAGTGATTCCCTCCCTCGTGTGAGCAGTGCCTTAGGCAGCAGATTTGGTGGCTCATCTGCTGGTACCAATAATTGTCTTTTGCACTAGGTTGGGCTTATTTGTGTTCTGTTGTATTTTGTTATATTGTGATGTATTTGCTTTTGTGGGCCATGGCTGCATTGTTTGTTTGCTAAGTTGTATATATGTAGATTATATGGCAGAAAACCCTGAGGGGGTGGACTGTAGGGTAAAGAAAATGTCAGGCTTTTCTGCCCTTCCGCCATCAGGATAGATGATGGATCCTTGTCCTGAATGCATGCCTGATGGCGGGCACCTGGAAGAGGGTGTGGGCATAGGAAGATGGGATTCAGCTGAGCTAAGACTGTGCTTTTAAGGGCGGCGTCACGGGGACGCCAGCAGCAGCAGAAGCAGTAGCAGCCGAAGCTGAAGCCGAAAGAGAAGCCAAGAAGCAGCAGAACGAACTCCAGAGAGCCCAGATAGAGTGAAGACTTGCTGGGGGCTGGGAGGCCTGCCAGCCTCCCAGCTCCCAGCCAGCACCCCTGCCTTGCACGTACCTGCTGAACCCCACTGAGGACTCTGCAAAACCACTGAGGACTCTGACTTCTCCTTTACCTGGTCTGCATGGGATCAGAAAACCTGCACTGTGGTCCATTCCTGCCTTTACACCTCCACACCAGTTCTTATATGCATAAA